ACACCACTCACAGATGAGCTACAATAATTATTTAAAATTAAATTTTAATACACCCATTGTGAGAACCACTTAGTTGGAGGGTTTTTATTCTTACATCTTTCTTCACAATTAAGCAAAACCACAACAGCTAACAATGAGTGCTTTGTGTGGAGGATTAAGCACTTTACGTCTGTGGTCTCATTTAAACTTTCACAACAACTGTACAAAGCTGGTGACATTATTGTGTCCACTTCACTGATATTTAGGTAATATTCCTCAAGGTCACACAGTAAGTGGATAAGCTAGGATTTAAACTTAGACTGTATAGATATATGACTTCAGGGCACAAACTCTGGAAAAAGATTCTCATGTTAATAATTGTGAATTATAGCCGGGCATGGTGGCTCATGCCTGTAATCCTAGCACTCTGGGAGGCCGAGGCGGGTGGACTGCTCAAGGACAGGAGTTCGAAACCAGCCTGAGCAAGAGCGAGACCCCGCCTCTACTATAAATAGAAACAAATTAATTGGCCAACTAATATACATAGAAAAAATTAGTCGGGCATGGTGGCGCATGCCTGTAGTCCCAGCTACTCGGGAGGCTGAGGCAGAAGGATTGCTTGAGCCCAGAAGTTTGAGGTTGCTGTGAGCAAGGCTGACGTCATGGCACTCACTCTAGCCTGGGCAATAAAGCGACACTTTGTCTCAAAAAAAAAAAAAAAAAAAAAAAAAATACTATTATTATCCCCATTTTTCAAATGAGGAAATTGAGGTCAACATCATACAATTACACGCCTGTAATCCTAGCACTCTGGGAGGCCGAGGTAGGCGGATTGCTCGAGGTCAGGAGTTCGAAACCACCTGAGCAAGAGCGAGACCCCGTCTCTACTATAAATAGAAACAAATTAATTGAATTGCCAACTGATATACATAGAAAAAATTAATCGGGCATGTGGCGCATGCCTGTAGTCCCAGCTATTCGGGAGCTGAGGCAGAAGGATTGCTTGAGCCCAGAAGTTTGAGGTTGCTGTGAGCTAGGTTGATGCCAGGGCACTCACTCTAGCCTGGGCAACAAAGCGAGACTGTCTCAAAAAAAAAAAAAAAAAAAAATCGTGAATTATAATAAAAGGAAATAGCTGTCCAAAAGCTAAACAGTTGCTCCTCAAGTAAATAGCCATACAATACAATACAAAGGAGAATAATTACTTTAATCTTAGTATCTATAGGTAGTTAATCTGGTGTACTGTCTTAATGACTTGTTAGATTCTTAAAACCCTCTAAATTTAGAAAAAAGAAAATAATGATAAAGTTTATTGGAAAACTAAGATTCTACATTTGAAATTTTGTGTCCCATTTCAATAACTCAAGGAATATGCTTGAATATCCATGTAACTTTCAGGTTTAGCTTTATTCTTCCAGGATTCTACTAGACTCCCCTAGTCCATGGTCTCCTAATAAAATGAAGTGTTACAGAACCCACTCTGGATACTCAGTTGCATACATATAATCAATCCCAATTAGACCAGTCAACAACCTTTTCCTTAAGGATGAGTACATAAACTTCTTTAAGGAAGTTAAAGGCTTCTTCACCCATCAAAAATGAAATCATGAGGCTAGGCATGATGATTTACGCCTATAATCCTAGTACCTTGGAGGATTGCTTGAGCCAGGAGTACCAGACTAGCCTGAGTAACAGAGAGACTCGACTCTACAAAAAATAGAAAAAAATAGCCAGGTGTGTGGCATGTGCTTACAGTCCCAGCTACCCAGAAAGCTGAGCAGAAGGATTGCTTGAGCCCAGGAGTTTGAAGTTGCTGTGAGCTATGATGAAGCCACTGCCCTCTAGCCCAGGCAACAGAGCCAGACTCTGTCTCAATCAATGAATGAATGAATCCAATCATGAAATATGGAAGAGAGGAAAGTGATTATGAAATTAATCACACATTTTACAGATTCTTAACAACTCCTGGAAGCTTTGGCAATTAGTATAGATATATAGGATTTAAATAGCTTAAGTCTTCAATGTTATAAATAGACAAATAGTTGAAAATTAAAGCACTGAAAATATCCAAATATTTACTCTGTTCTTTTGTCAAATGATCCTTTAGACCGTTTAATTTCTTTCAGAAATAATTTTTTTATATAAATTTGAATTTTCTAAAGAATACCATCTCACATTGATAGGTACTTTATCCTACTTATTCCTTTTCTGTTTGTTCTGATAGCTGCAATTCACTAAAAAAATCTACGTGGCGGCCGGCGCAGTGGCTCACGCTATAATCCTAGCTCTCTGGGAGGCCGAAGCGGCGGATTGCTCAAGGTCAGGAATTCAAAACTAGCCTGAACAAGAGCGAGACCCCGTCTCTACTATAAAAAATAGAAAGAAATTAATTGGCCAACTAATATATATAGAAAAATTAGCCGGCATGGTGGCGCATCCTGTAGTCCCAGCTACTCGGAGGCTGAGCAGTAGGATTGCTTGAGCCCAGGAGTTTGAGGTTGCTGTGAGCTAGGCTGATGCCACGGGACTCACTCTAGCCTAGGCAACAAAGCGAGACTCTGTCTCAAAAAAAAAAAAAGAATCTACGTGTATTAATGTGCCTGGCATACTAGTATTTCTATGGCCAGGCACAGTGGCTCACGCCTGTAATCTTGCACCCTGGGAGGCTGAGGCAGGAGGATCACTCAAGGTCTGGAGTTGAAACCAACCTGAGCAAGAGCAAGGCTCCATCTCTGCTAAAAATAGAAATAAATTAATTGGCCAACTAAAAATATATAGAAAAAATTAGCCAGGCATGGTGGCACGTGTCTTGTAGTCCCAGCTACTGGGAGCTGAGGCAGTAGGATCGCTTGAACCCAGAAGTTTGAGTTGCTGTGAGCTAGGCTGATGACATGGCACTCTAGCCTGGGTAACAAAGTGAGACTCTGACTCAAAAAAAAAAAGTCATATAAATTGGGTTCCTTTTGAAACTAGTCAGTTAAGCAAGGTGCTAAGTTTCAACTAAAGTTATCCAGGCTGTAGCTCTTTCCTGGTGTTTTCCAGCAGGTTATAATACTAAGATACTGATTTTGTGACATATTAATTACCTTTGCATTTTTCCAGTTAGAAATACAAGGAGGAATCTCACTCTTGTTGTTCCTTTACAGTCATCTGAATTGATAGAAGAGTGAAAAAAAAATTTTACATTTATAGTCCAGTTAAAAACCCAAATATAATCTTTCTCTTTAAAGACAGCATCATATACACAGACATACACAGATTTAGTCAAAGGCCAAAATTCTGTTTGTTTTGATAGCACTATATATACTATCTTCCCATATCATGGATTCTAGATTAATAACTTTGAACTAGTGTAAAAAATGAAAATAATCTAGAAATCATTTTGATTGGCTATAAATGCTGACTAGTATTTTTCCATATTTAAAGTGAGTGACTTCTTCAGATAAAATTGTTCTTGAGTGATAAAACATATCTTAAATGCCACTCAGATTACCAATCAGAGACCTAATGAACTCAAGTTTTCACTTCCTGTAACATCATTTATGTGAAACAGCAGACCCTTTCATTGCATAAAAGCAGGATTTAGTTACTAATAACAAAATTTATAGCTAACATTTTAACACATTCTCAAAAGCACTCTGGAACTACACTTTGTAACCTTGACTGGGTCCCTATTTCATCTTGAGAAATAAGAAAACTACAACTCAATGTGGTGATAGTGTATCTGTACAGGCATAAGGAGGTTATTATAAAATTAATAATCATGAGTAGAAAAAAGATTTTAGACCATAACAAAGAATACCTTTCGCTAGGAGAATGCATGACAGGTGCAGAGGAGAGGGTGGTCCCCGGGGGATTTTCTTATTGATCCTGAAGATAAATCAAAGCACAACCAGAGAGTGTTATACTTTTCCCCTTTTAGGATTATATCTCAAGTTTACCTACACTTTTAGGTATTATTTCCAATTTTTTGTTGTGTAAATTTCAAATATAGACAAAAATAGAGACTGCAAAGAATGCCCATCTATCATACAACTATCACTCAGCTTCAAAACAGAACACAGCCAACCCTGTATCATCATCATTTATCCACCTTACAATACTATCATTTCATAGAGTAATATATTTTTTTCCTTTTTAAAAAGTAGCTTAAGATACAACTGACATACAATAATTATATATAAAGTGTACAGTTAAAACCATCATCACAATCAAGACAGTGAAGATACCCATCCTCCAGAATTCTGCCTGCTCCTTTGATTATCATCTATCCCTCATCCTCTCCCATCTTCTCTCTGTCCCCACCTCCTTCCTCAGAGGCAACAATGACCAACTTCCTGTCACCATATTTTGTATTTTCTAGGGTTTATATAAATGAAATCATACTGTATGTAATTATTTTTGCCTAGCTTCTTTTACTCAGCATAATTTATTTTGAGATCATTCATGTTATTATGTGCATTTTTTTTGTTTGTTTAGACAGGGTCTCACAGTTGCCCAGGCTGGACTCCAACACCTGGGTTCAAGTGATCCTCCCAACTCAGCCTCCTGAGGAGCTGGGACTATAGTGTGTGTACCACCTGTGTCTGGCTATTGTGTGTTAAAAGTTATTCTTTTTATTGCTTAAATGTTTTATGTATGGATATATCACAGTTTGTTGATCCATTCACCCATTAATGGACCTTTGGGCCACATTTCTCCTTTAATGTCTTTTTTAAGAATAGTGGTTCATTCTCATGAAGCCATTTACTTACTTGAACTTGGATTCCATTGATCTTTCTGCATTCTTACCATGCGAATAACCCTTTGTTTAGCCTCAGAGTTGAAAGCCACTCCTTGCTGAGATGTGTGTGTATCTGAAGAAAGCAGAAGAGAACTAAAGTGGTAATAGTTCAACTTTCAGTAGGTATTTTTTCCTTCTATTACAATCCAAAACTAACTACATTTTCAATTTTTTCACACAAGCATTGATGGAAAATTACAAAATATTAAAACCTTCAGAAGGAAAGGAGAATGTTTTGTGGACCACTTTTGTTTCTTTTTGTGTGGCAGTTTTAAGTTATTAGTTTTTAAAATCAGTACTTTTTAATGGAAACAACTTGACCAAAAATCTGTCACAGAATTTTGAGACCCATTAAAACAAAGTTTAATGAGAAAAAAAAAATAAAAAATAAAAATAAAAAATAAAAAAAAAACAAACAAAAGCTAAACAGTTGCTCCTCAAGTAAATAGCCATACAATACAATACAAAGGGAGAATAAATTACTTTAATCTTAGTATCTATAGGTAGTTTAATCTGGTGTACTGTCTTAATGACTTGTTAGATTCTTAAAACCCTCTAAATTTTAGAAAAAAGAAAATAATGATAAAGTTTATTGGAAAACTAAGATTCTACATTTTGAAATTTTGTGTCCCATTTCAATAACTCAAGGAATATGCTTGAATATCCATGTAACTTTCAGGTTTAGCTTTATTCTTCCAGGATTCTGACTAGACTCCCCTAGGTCCATGGTCTCCTAATAAAATGAAGTGTTACAGAACCCACTCTGGATACTCAGTTGCATACATATTAATCAATCCCAATTAGACCAGTCAACAACCTTTTCGTTTAAGGATGAGTACATAAACTTCTTTAAGGAAGTTAAAGGGCTTTCTTCACCCATCAAAAATGAAATCATGAGGCTAGACATGATGATTTACGCCTATAATCCTAGTACCTTGGAGGATTGCTTGAGGCCAGGAGTACCAGACTAGCCTGAGTAACAGAGAGACTCGGACTCTACAAAAAATAGAAAAAATTAGCCAGGTGTGGTGGCATGTGCTTACAGTCCCAGCTACCCAGAAAGCTGAGGCAGAAGGATTGCTTGAGCCCAGGAGTTTGAAGTTGCTGTGAGCTATGATGAAGCCACTGCCCTCTAGCCCAGGCAACAGAGCCAGACTCTGTCTCAATCAATGAATGAATGAATCCAATCATGAAATATGGGAAGAGAGGAAAGTGATTATGAAATTAATCACACATTTTACAGATTCTTAACAACTCCTGGAAGCTTTGGCAATTAGTATAGATATATAGGATTTAAATAGCTTAAGTCTTCAATGTTATAAATAGACAAATAGTTGAAAATTAAAGCACTGAAAATATCCAAATATTTACTCTGTTCTTTTGTCAAATGATCCTTTAGACCGGTTTAATTTCTTTCAGAAATAATTTTTTTATATAAATTTGAATTTTCTAAAGAATACCATCTCACATTGATAGGTACTTTATCCTACTTATTCCTTTTCTGTTTGTTTCTGATAGCTGCAATTCACTAAAAGAATCTACGTGGCGGCCGGGCGCAGTGGCTCACGCCTATAATCCTAGCTCTCTGGGAGGCCGAAGCGGGCGGATTGCTCAAGGTCAGGAGTTCAAAACTAGCCTGAACAAGAGCGAGACCAAAGAAATTAATTGGCCAACTAATATATATAGAAAAAATTAGCCGGGCATGGTGGCGCATGCCTGTAGTCCCAGCTACTCGGGAGGCTGAGGCAGTAGGATCGCTTGAACCCAGAAGTTTGAGGTTGCTGTGAGCAAGGCTGACGTCATGGCACTCACTCTAGCCTGGGCAATAAAGCGACACTTTGTCTCAAAAAAAAAAAAGAATCTACGTGGTATTAATGTGCCTGGCATACTAGTATTTCTATGGCCAGGCACAGTGGCTCACGCCTGTAATCTTGCACCCTGGGAGGCTGAGGCAGGAGGATCACTCAAGGTCTGGAGTTCGAAACCAACCTGAGCAAGAGCAAGGCTCCATCTCTGCTAAAAATAGAAATAAATTAATTGGCCAACTAAAAATATATAGAAAAAATTAGCCAGGCATGGTGGCATGTGTCTGTAGTCCCAGCTACTTGGGAGGCTGAGGCAGTAGGATCGCTTGAACCCAGAAGTTTGAGGTTGCTGTGAGCTAGGCTGATGACATGGTACTCTAGCCTGGGTAACAAAGTGAGACTCTGACTCAAAAAAAAAAAAAAGTCATATAAATTGGGTGTTCCTTTTTGAAACTAGTCAGTTAAGCAAGGTGCTAAGGTTTCAACTAAAGTTATCCAGGCTGTAGCTCTTTCCTGGGTGTTTTCCAGCAGGTTATAATACTAAGATACTGATTTTGTGACATATCAATTACCTTTGCATTTTTCCAGTTAGAAATACAAGGAGGAATCTTCCACTCTTGTTGTTCCTTTACAGTCATCTGAATTGATAGAAGAGTGAAAAAAAAATTTTTACATTTATAGTCCAGTTAAAAACCCAAATATAATCTTTCTCTTTAAAGACAGCATCATATACACAGACATACACAGATTTAGTCAAAGGCCAAAATTCTGTTTGTTTTGATAGCACTATATATACTATCTTCCCATATCATGGATTCTAGTATTAATAACTTTGAACTAGTGTAAAAAATGGAAAATAATCTAGAAATCATTTTTGATGGCTATAAATGCTGACTAGTATTTTTCCATATTTAAAGTGATGTGACTTCTTTCAGATAAAAAATTGTTCTTTGAGTGATAAAACATATCTTAAAGTGCCACTCAGATTACCAATCAGAGACCTAATGAACTCAAGTTTTCACTTCCTGTAACATCATTTATGTGAAACAGCAGACCCTGTTCATTGCATTAAAAGCAGGATTTAGGTTACTAATAACAAAATTTATAGCTAACATTTTATACACATTCTCAAAAGCACTCTGGGAACTACACTTTGTAATCTTGACTGGGTCCCTATTTCATCTTGAGAAATAAGAAAACTACAACTCAATGTGGTGATATGTATCTGTACAGGCATAAGGAGGTTATTTATAAAATTAATAATCATGAGTAGAAAAAAAGATTTTAGACCATAACAAAGAATACCTTTCGGCTAGGAGAATGCATGACAGGTGCAGGAGGAGAGGGTGGTCCTCGGGGGATTTTCTTATTGATCCTGAAGGATAAATCAAAGCACAACCAGAGAGTGTTATACTTTTTCCCCTTTTTAGGTATTATATCTCAAGTTTACCTACACTTTTAGGTATTATTTCCAATTTTTTTGTTGTGTAAAGTTTCAAATATAGACAAAAATAGAGACTGCAAACGAATGCCCATCTATCATACAACTATCACTCAGCTTCAACAACAGAACACAGCCAACCCTGTTATCATCATCATTTATCCCACCTTACAATACTATCATTTCATAGAGTAATATATTTTTTTCCTTTTTAAAAAGTAGCTTAAGATACAACTGACATACAATTAATTATATATAAAGTGTACAGTTTAAAACCATCATCACAATCAAGACAGTGAAGATACCCATCCCTCCAGAATTTCTGCCTGCTCCTTTGATTATCATCTATCCCTCATCCTCTCCCATCTTCTCTCTGTCCCCACCTCCTTCCTCAGAGGCAACCAATGACCAACTTCCTGTCACCATATTTTGTATTTTCTAGGGTTTTATATAAATGAAATCATACTTTATGTAATTATTTTTGCCTAGCTTCTTTTACTCAGCATAATTATTTTGAGATTCATTCATGTTATTATGTGCATTTTTTTTGTTTGTTTTAGACAGGGTCTCACATGTTGCCCAGGCTGGACTCCAACACCTGGGTTCAAGTGATCCTCCCAACTCAGCCTCCTGAGGAGCTGGGACTATAGGTGTGTACCACCTGTGTCTGGCTATTGTGTGTGTTAAAAGTTTATTCTTTTTTATTGCTTAAATGTATTTTATGTATGGATATATCACCGTTTGTTGATCCATTCACCCATTAATGGACCTTTGGGCCACATTTCTCCTTTAATGTCTTTTTTAAGAATAGTGGTTCATTCTCATGAAGCCATTTACTTACTTGAACCTTGGAGGTTCCATTGGATCTTTCTGCATTTCTACCATGCGAATAACCCTTTGTTTAGCTCCAGAGTTGAAAGCCACTCCTTGCTGAGATGGTGTGTATCTGAAGAAAGCAGAAGAGAACTAAAGGTGTAACTAGTTCAAGCTTTCAGTAGGTATTTTTTCCTTCTATTACAATCCAAAACTAGACTACATTTTCAATTTTTTTCACAAAGCATTGATGGAAAATTACAAAATATTTAGGCAGAGAAGACAGCAACAGAGATAAGAAAACTAACAGAAATTAGGAGTTACAAGCAAAATGTAAATGTGAATGGTATTAGTTTGCAAATAATCCATTCTCATCCATTTTCCTACATGGAAGGTGCGGTGTTCAGTTTCACCAGTAAGAGGTCTGGAAAAAGAGTACCTATTTTGTAAGTCTGCATTTCAGGAAAACACAACCATAATAATCCTGGGAGGCAACTTACAGTTAGCAGTTTTTGGTTAATTATAGCTTGTAAAACAGAAAAAGAATAATGATAGCAACCCTACCAGCTCTGAATTTTCCCTTAATATCTGTATGTTATTCACCTCTCCATGCAAAGATTTAGTTGAGTGAAACCTTTCAAAATCTAGAAGTATTTTAAGGATGCCAATTATATATAAATGGAAAACTTTAAATAATAATTATGGTTTGGATCATATACTCCAAGTAATTGTCAATTTCTAAAAACAAAAAATATATTTTAAAAATAGCATAAAAACTAATATCTTAAAGTGGACATCTTAAAAAAATCCTTCTACTTTCAGCTGTCTGCAAAGAGAGTGGACAGGCTTCAAGTAATTATTCAAAACAATGCATGTATAACTGTTACTAAATAGGATAGTAAAAGAATATTAGGACCATTCCAATATGATTCAAGTCAAAAAGGAAACTAAGACTTTTAGGCATGATTCATACCGGATATACTGAGCAGGAGCCAGTTTGTCAGCGGCTCGAACTGGCATGGCTGCGGCAACCTTCTGCGATACGGATTTTTCTAAGGCTACCCTTGTTTTTTCTGTTATCTGAAATAAGAAACATTGCATTGAGTGGTTTGGAAGTTAATAAGGATGTAAAAAGTCATCTAATACATCAGTTCTCAGTTACCTCTTTAATAGCTTCTTCATCGGGTCTTTGCAGGTCTGGATCATCTGCATTCATAACCTCCTTTGGAACCAGGTCAGTGTATTTGCTATAAATGATCTAAAATGTTCAAACACAAAGAGGCTTAAGAATGAAAAGAAGCCACCTCATTAAATCATTTCAGATGTCAACATGTCTTCTCTCAGCACATTTATAAATTTAGGACATTCAGATTTTGTCTTTTAGATTTTAAAACCAAGAAAGCTTAAAATATATACACAAATTGCTACCCTGGCTATATTAATAATTTTCCCTGGATCCCACACATTTAAATTATTTGAATGGTCTAATAAACTCAATATCCAAATAAATTGTGCCAACAAGATCTTATGCATCAATGATCCCTATTGTTGAGGCTCACTAAGACTTGAAATTAATGATGATATAAATTGCCTATAATACCATTATCTTGGATTATAAACTCATCAGAATTTAAGTCAGGTTACCAAATAATATTCAAATTCATTAGGCCTAGAAAATTTCATTGACTTCATCCTATTTATGTTTCTCTTCTCTGGCATCAACTTATTCCTAGACTAAGAAAATAAACATGTACCATAGTCAAAAACCCAGAAAACTTTCTTCCATGAAAAGACAAAAAGAGAAAAGAAAAAAAAGAAAAAACAAAATACATTCTTACATAAACAACTTATTTTATACCCATTATCCAAATTTAGGACTGTATATGTTTTCTACTAAGCCCCGCATGGTTTCTATTAGGCTGAGGCTGATATGGCAGGCCCTTGACAGGTACAATATTACTTTCAAGTCCATCTATACTTCCCAAACATTGTCACAGAAAGTTCCATGGTAGATTTTAAAGTAAAAAAGAGGTACCAGAAATTCAACAAATAATGAACACTCTAGACTTTAATGCTTTAGTTAGAAATTGTTGACACAAAAGAAAGGACAACTTATGAACATGAGAGAAAATCAAATTCCTAGGCACTTGACATCTTTAAAAATTTTCTGTAGAAGAAAACTATTTACTAATACAAGCCAAAGTCTTATATTAATAATTGCATTGTATCATATGACATTCCATAAAACAATTTAAAGGAAATACATGCTATTCCTAATTTCGCATTTCAAATAACAGAGCAAAAAACCACTTCATGGCTTACATGACCTGACCTGATTTTGCCTACGCCTTCAATCTCCCCTAATAACTCTCACTGTCTCACTCAGTATGCTTTACTCACACTGGCTCTTCTGTTTCTTGAACATAATGTGCTTCTTCCCTATTCTGGGCCTTTATAGAGTGTTGTTCCCAGTTCTTCAAGTAAGTTCTCAATCTCTCTCAGATCAAAGGTCCAGCACTGGTGAGGTGTCCTCTATCTTTGCTAGTAGCAACCCCTCCCCACCCATTCTATTCCACAGCACTCTGTTTAATGTCTTCAAAGTGCTATTCACAGTATGAAATCACTTACCTACTTTACTTATTTATCTGTCTCCCCTACTAAAATAATAGTGATCATGGCTAATATTTATTAAGCACTTTGTATGCCACTGTTTAATCAACCCTATGAGGTATGCACAAAGATTATACTCACATTACTGATGAGAAATCCCTTATTCATTAAAAGTATCTCCAGTGCCTATAACAATGCCTGGTCCACAGGAGATATTCAGTCAATATTTTTTGTACAAATGAATCAATAAATAAATTTTAGAGGTGCGCTATTATATGTTAACGGTTCTTATATTTTAGGCCCTGTGGAACTTTCTCTATAAGCTATTGATTTCCCAGAAAAGACCTATCTCATGGCTATAAATGGAAACCTCTAGCTTGTTTTTTTTTTTCAGAAATAAGAGGGATCATGTAAAAAAGTATAGATGATTTAGCACAAAACATATACTATTGATATGTGAGCTATTAGAGTAACCATCCTCTAAGAGTATTCATGTTGGAAGGGACACTAAAGCTTACTCTAGCACAGCAGTCCCCAACCTCTTTGCACCAGGGACTGGTTTCATGGAAGATAGTTTTTCCATGGATGGGGGTGGGGGGAGCTCAGGCAGTGATGTAGGCAATGGGAAGCGGCTGTAAATACAGGTGAAGCTCTGCTCACTTGCCTGACGCTCACCTCTTGCTGTGCAGCCTGATTTCTAAGTTTCATAGAAGACAATTTTTCCATGGATATGATGGGCAGGGAGCAGCAGAGCTCTGTGGCCCAGTCCCTAACAGGCAATGGACTGGTGCCAGTCCACAGCCTGGGGGTTGGGGGCCACAGCTCTAGTGAGAAGAGTGAAACTCAGTACATTAAAATTACACAGATACCAACTGAACTCAGAAGTCTTATTTCCTTCTAGGAGGGAAAAATCAAAACCACTGCAAATTGAAAATTATATGACACTCTAGGTAAAAATACCAAGACTGAAGGGTTAATGACTTTTACATTATAAAAGCTTTTTATATCATAAAGTAATTAACTCTTCAATCATTATAGGAAGGGATTCTAAGTAAATGGCTCCCTAGTAGTCATATATGTTCAACATAAAGTCTCAATACTAATTTAGCACACAAGAGCCATTTGCTGCTTCTTATTTGGATATTCCAAAGTTAATAACCCTTTAAATGAGCATCGGTAAGATTCTAGCATCTCACAAGGCTGAGTGAAGGACAACTGAAGAGCAAGATTCCTTTATGGTAATTAACTATAAAACCCCAAATTTTTATAGCCTGAGAACTAAATGTGAAGAAACTCAGCACATCCCAGGAGGCAAAGGGGCTTGGGAGGGTTATCTGAAAAATATAATATACTCTTGAAGATATCAGAAGCACACATGAGCTTTGTGAACAAGATCAAGTACTAACTCATCTGTGAAACAGATGTTTTCTTATTATCAAAAACCGGCAAAGAACTAGACTGACTAAAAGGATAAGCCTACCAACATATTCATATTCACCATGTGAGGAAGAAAGAAAAACAGTCTTTAGGCTTAGCTAGTTTGTGAAATCATACAATCATAACATATAATTTATTTTGGAGTCGATTTAAAGTTGCTGGGGTTTCTTGAGGGGAGTGGTAATCATAGCTCACTGCAGCCTCTAACTCCTGGGCTTAAGTGATCCTCATGCCTCAGACTCCCAAGTAGGTAGGACTACAGGTGTACCACCACACCCAGCTAATTTTTTTAAATTTTTTGCTGAGAGAGGGTCTTGCTATGTTGCCCAGGCTGGTCTCAAACTCCTGGGCTCAAGTGACCCTCTTGCCTTGGCCCCCCAAAGTGTTGGGATTACAGGCGAGAGCTATCACGCCGGCCCCAATAGTCTTTATATTCAAACAGATGAGAGAGTCACCTGCTAAAGATGAGACAGGATGGAAGGGTGTAGGTATTAAGGCTTGGTGGGAATACCAAGGGAACCAAGCTGAAACTAGAGATAAAATTTGCATGATTACATAATTGTTTTCCCCAAAGACTCAGCAGCCATGGTGCAGTAGCAAAAGATAAGCTGTCAGTGCTATTTTGAGGGTAAAATGAAAAAGCCTAGGGAAAAAGAGGCAAAGGATAGGCACTAACATCTCTCAAATATTTTTCCCATCATTAATTCTGAAGAGATCTTTTACTTCTACCTTGAGTATTTACTTACAAGAAAAAAAAATAGGTCTTCTTAAAAATAGTTCCTTGGCCCTGAGTGTAGCTTCACTGTGATGAGATTATTTTAAGCAGATTTTATTTTTGGTCTCTGAATTACTTTGTAAGCAGGGCCATCCTAAATCTGGATGGCAAATGCTAGCTTTGTACTTAATCTAGGGCGAAAGAAGTCTGTGTAACTTATTATATTCAAATGAACTATTAAAATAAGTGTCTATGTAAATACTCTCTCAGTACATGGAAAAAATTAGAAGAGACTATAGATAAAATTAAAAGTTGATTTTTTTTTAGGCTCTGGGATTGTAGATTTTTATTTTATTTTTTTGAGACAGACTCTTGCTCTGTTGCCTGGGCTAGAATGCCATTGTGTCAGTCAGCTTAGCTCACTGCAACCTCAAACTCCTGGGCTCAAGCGATCCTCTTGCCTCAGCCTCCTCAGTAGCTGGCACTATAGGAGTGCACTATCACAACCAGATAATTTTTTCTATTTTTAGTAGAGACAGGATCTCTTTCTTGCTCAGGCTGGTCTCAAGTAGGATTGTAGATTTCAAAAAATTTGCCAGCATTTTCATAATGCTAGTACTATAAAATAATTGTTTTAAAAATATAAAACAAATAAAAATCTTGAGTATACACAAACTCTGAGAATTTCGAAGGAAAATGTGATTGCTTGACACTGAAGTTAGCCCAAGTATACATCATTGCTACTTTTAACATAAATCAAAAGGCAAGAGATTTGTCATTTTCACAAAATTAAAAAAAAATTCTTCACAAAATATCAATCATTGAGAAAAAGAAAATCAGTGAGAGCATTACCTTGTCTTTTGACTGTCCTTGTCGAGCAATTGCATCATACTTAATTTTTCCTTCAGGATCCACCTGAATGGCCAGTGCATTCGACATTTTTTTCTTTCGTCCCATATCCAGTGGATACTGGGCCACATGGATCTCTGGAAAAGCACCTCCATCTCCAAAATCCTATAGAAAGAAAGAAAGAAAGAAGAGAAACAAGAAAGAGAGAGGGGAGGGGAGGGGAGGGGAGGGAAAGCAAAAAAATGAAAAACTATTTAGTAGTAATTTGAGATTTAAGATATATTCATTCATTCAACAAATAATTATTGAGTCCTTAGTATGCTAGATGCTGGAGATATGGCAGAGGTCCCTAACTCTTGTGGATTTTACATTCTAGTATGCAAAGACACAAAAAACATACTCTTTGGTTTGTGATAGATAAGTACCATTAAGGTTATACAGGGACTGGAAAGAGGGGCTACTTTCAATAGCGTGGTTGGGATAGCTTTTGTGAAGAAGTTAACATGTGAGCTAAAGCCTGAATGATAATAAAGCAGTTATGGGAAGATCAGAGGGAAGCATTTTTTTTTTTTGGAGACAGAGTCTCACTTTGTTGCCCAGGCTAGAGTGAGTGCCATGGCATCAGCCTGGCTCACAGCAACCTCAAACTCCTGGGCTCAAGCAATCCTCCTGCCTCAGCCTCCCAAGTAGCTGGGACTACAGGTATGTGCCACCATGCCCGGCTCATTTTTTCTATATATATTAGTTGGCCAATTAATTTCTTTCTATTTATAGTAGAGACGGGGTCTCGCTCTTGCTCAGGTTGGTTTCGAACTCCTGAGCTCAAAGGATCCACCGCCTTGGCCTCCCAGAGAGCCAGGATTACAGGCGTGAGCCACCGCACCGGGCCAGAGGGAAGCATTTTTTAAGCAAAGCAAACAGAAAATGTGAAGGCCTTGTTGCAAGAATGAACGTGGCATATTTTAGGAAACGAGAGTTCAGTGGGGCCAACAGCTTCTTAAGAACAGTGAAGCTGTCACATAGGTTGCATGGGTAGACAAATACCAGACTATGAAGGGGCTTCTAGGCCATGGCAAGGAATCTGGATTTTATATATGTAGCAGGAAGAAACTAAGCAAAACATTTAGAACAAGGCAAAGATTTTCACTTTAGCATATATAAATATAACATATATGTATTTAGTGAGGAACAGGTAAAGCTATACTTAGGGGTGAAATGTAAAGAATTTTTTCTTAGAACCAGATTTTATTAACATGGTGTCATTAATTCACTGTATGTGAGAAGCAAATAAATAGAATAGGAACAACCCAGAAATGAGTTTGTCACATTTCTACTGGTAATTATATACGATTATTTAGGAGAGAGAACTAAGACTTCTAAAGTAGAACAAGTTAAATAAAGTTTGTCAAGGAAGTTTAATATTTAAAAACCGTATGTAATCAAATAAACATATGAACATCAAGTGTAATTTTTAAAGTTTTTTAGTACCATTTGCTTAGTACCTTTTAATTTAAAAATCATAATTTACACTTATACTATCTTATCCTTACAATTCTTATTTTCATAAGGAAAAAATTAGGTTTATAAAAATTAAGTGATTTTTCCCAAGATGTTACAGCTAGCAGCATATGCAGAACTTGAACCCAGATCTTTTGACTCCAAAAAGCTTTGTGTTTTTTTTTTTCTTAATTTTTAGTTTTTAAATTTAGAGACAGGGTCTCCCTGTCCCCAAGGATGAAGCACGATCATAACTCACTGTAACCTCCAACTCCTGGGCTCAAACAATCCTCCTACCTCAGCCTCTGGAGAAGCATGCACCACCATACTAGGCTTATTAAAAAAAAATTTTTTTTTTTTTTTTTTAGAGATGGGGTCTTGGTATGTTAACTAGGCTGCTCTTGAACTCCTGGGCTCAAGTGATCCTCCTGCCTTGGCCTTCCAAAGTACCGAGATTACAGGTGTGAGCCACCATGCTTGGCCAGCTTTGTATTTTCTATTACTCTGAAATAGCTTTTTTTTTTTTACCTCAAAAAAGCCAAATTAACACTACTAAGACATAATAAAAAATATATGTATATTAATCATTTTCATCATTTGATAAAAATATTTGTGAAAATATCAACTTTTACAAGACTTCTTCAGGCAATATTCCATTAGATCCAAGATATATGAGTTGCTAGGTACAATATTTGTATTTGCTAATGAGACCACTGAAATTTCTAAAAACCAACAGAATAAAACTGAAAGATATTTTCTTGTAAATTAGGCAGAAATAGTTAAAGCATTCCTAAAAAAAGTGCTTCCTGTACCCAGACCATCAATCTGACACATGCTCAGATTTGCTAGAGTTCTTCAACTATAATAAGCACTTCAGAACTGTAGATGTAGCATTATGTGGTCATTAAGCTTGCCAGAAAATCATAGCTTTTACTTTGAAAACTAGAACAAAATGCCTTCTTCCACAGAACATTCACTCCCCTCAAGAAGCATCCGTGACATTTCCAAATTAGCTGGACATTTCTCTTTGATTTTCAAATAAACTGTTCTGTTCCACCAGGATATATGAAACCTTTGATAGTCAAGTAAGATTTTAAAAAGCTAATAGCAACCAAATATCATGATGCTGAAATACAAGATGAGCTTTCCATTGTATGTAAAATGATGCCTGCCACCCCCATTCTGTAATCTATTGAAAGACCAAAGAATATTTATAATCTCTCAAAAGAGACACTCAACTCCTCTATTAAATAATGCCAATCACTATGTTTCTGCCCCCAGTAAGATTCCTTGATGATCGCTCTGTTTCTCACAAATTACACTATCACAGAGAACAAAAAAAAGCATGAAAATCCCTTAATAATTAATAAAATCCCTTAAGACTGGCCCTTCACACACTAGAATTCATAAGGACCAAAGGAAAGCTGAGAGAAAAAAAACCCAAAAAAAACAGGGAATATGTTAGGACAAGATATGATCTAGCTGGACATTCATCTTATAGGCTCTATAGTCTGGAATGTAGGGGAATGATAAACATGGGAGAGGTTGAGAATACAAATGGCTTCTGGTAGGGTTCCTAAGGAACAAGTTTTAATTTAATGAACACTACAGTCACCTCTTAGAGGCATGTGAGAAAAAGGCATGAGCCCTTCAAATTTGTAAAGTAAATATCATAAGCACATAAGGACAGAATATAAAAATAACCGGGTACAAAAGTGAATGGTATAGCCACTTTAGATTTTTTAACAGGGTATGAACATTTTGTGGAACATGGAGGAAGAAAATTTGAAGGAGTCAGAATGAATATTAGGAGAGGGAGAAGAAAAAGTCTTGATAAAAGTGGAGATCTTGGCTGGGCGTGGTGGCTCACGCCTGTAATCCTAGCGCTCTGGGAGGCCGAGGCGGGCAGATTGCTCGAGGTCAGGAGTTCGAAACCAGCCTGAGCAAGAGTGAGACCCCATCTCTACTATAAATACAAAGAAATTAATTGGCCAACTAATATATATATATACAAAAAATTAGCCGGGCTTGGTGGCGCATGCCTCTAGTCCCAGCTACTCCAGCGGCTGAGGCAGCAGGATTGCTTGAGCCCAGGAGTTTGAGCTTGCTGTGAGCCAGGCTGATGCCATGACACTTACTCTAGCTTGGGCAACAAAGCGAGATTCTGTTTCAAAAAAAAAAAAGTGGAGATCTTGAGGAGGCAAAGTATTTTAGTCTCAATTATTTGCTTTTCTCCCTAGATAAGTGGTCAAGTATGGGACTGCTACCCTGGCATTAGGGAAAGGAATATGTATTAAACTGATGTACAAGATCATGAGCAATTAGGAGAATAGATGCTGCCATGGAAGTTTGTTCTTTGGGAATAAGATAGAGATACAAAAGGATCACTCCAGATTCTTCCTTCTCCCTCACTGCCTCCAAAACCACCAAATGTTGTCTCTTACATCTCCTAAAAACGAAACATGAAATCCACTTTCACTCTTACTTTAATCTTACTTTCCCATTATCTTTCATATGCTATAATTCCTGGATTTATAAAATGTTAGTTTCTTTTGTAAATGTTTGATAGTTTGACATAAGAATAGACAAAATGGTACAATTTTCTAATGATCATAAAGCAGTGATAGACAACAAACAAAAAGATAAATCTTCTGAAGGAAGGACATATCTTGAGAGCTCACAACCAGAATTTCTATCACAATGAAACTCATAATCAGGGGTTCTAGGGTTTAAATTTGTTACAGAGTACTAAATAAATTTCAGCACAATTTTAAAAATACAAATTGAAGATCCACGTTTACCTCTAATAACCGAGGTATCCAGCCTTTCCGATACCCGTATGGGGGAGGTTCTCTTCGGGAGGATACCAGTGAGGTCTGGCGTGACCTCTGAGATCTTGCCTTCTCTTCAGCCTCAAGCTGGTCCTGAGATAGCTGAGTAGGTGCAGGTAAAAAGCTATAAGCAAAGATAATGAAAGTCAGAATTTTGAAAAAATTTAATTGTTTATTTGTTTATTGTAATTTGGCCATCAGAGACAATTTTTTCTACAATGCTTTTTCCTTTGAGCAAAAAAGCAGAATTTTCAATGATTTATGGCAGTATTCAATACCAGTCATTTTCTCATGTGTGGAAAGAAAGAAGTGCTCAAAGGCATACAGTGAAAACATTTGACTAGGACAAAAGCAAATGACATCCAGAATCAAAAACTAACAGATTATTTCACATAATAAACTATTAAGCTTTTTATGTTTCCATTTTCATTTCTTATAAAAGTAAACATCCTTAGTTACCTAGGGACCAACTGTCTAATAATATATGGTTTTCTAAGTACCCTAGCTATTCTTAATACTCCTTACTTTTAATTATTTTAGTGTCAATACTAAAGAACTAGGATTAAGATTGAATGTAACAAAGCTGCAGATAAAAGAAAGAAAACACAAGTTGCATATTTAAGTGCATTTTCCTAAGGGTTTCCTAGTTTAGAATGTAATTTAAAACTTAGGTCAGTCAGGAGAAGCCCTGAAGATGTAATTGATTATTATTTAATCAAAGTAACCTTTTTACTAAACCATACTCAATAATTTTTAAGTATTATAAATGTTATTATATTGACACCCCAAAGTACCACAAAGGGATGCAATAGATGAATATGGTTAATGGAAAAAATAATTCAGATTCCTTTGTTATTCTTTGCTAGTAAGCACACTTGAATAAGCAGCAGACTTAATTCATTTATTCAAAATTATTTATTAATCACTTAGGTTCAGACACTATGCTAGGAAGGCAATGAGACTATAAACTGAGAATGATAAGCTGAGACAGCTCACATTCTTGCAGGGGAGAAAGACAATCATATAAATCCATAATTAAAAATCATATTAAGTAATGAAGGAAAAGTACAGAGTGCTATCACAGCATTCATCAGAAGGATCTAATTCAGTGTGAGGAGGTCAGGTAATGAGACGGCCAACAGCCAGAGTTCCAATCCTATCTATGCCACTTACTAATCTGGATAAGTTACTTACCTCTCTGAACCTGCTGTCTCATCTGTAATGACAGATCATAAGAGTACCAATTTCATAAGGTTCTGGTAAGTATTAAAGAGAAAAAACCATGAACCAGTTGGCATAGTGTCTAGATACTGTTCAATAATGTTTATTTGGAGCTGTGCCATGAGTCTCCCGGTTTGGGTTAGCTGCTTCCCATCTAAACTCTCATAAGACCCTTGGCATACCACAAGAACATCTTTCTTACTGCATTACCATCATCTGTTCATTGACCTATCCTTCCTTCACTAGATTGTGAGCAACCTGAGGAATCATGGCTCATGCTTCTTACATTCCTAATGCTAGCTCATAGCAGGGGCTCCTTAAATGTATGCAAGAGAAATAAATTCACTCTACCCCTGGCACTCACCATCTTTATGTCACTACAGCCTTCTTTTCTTTCCTTAAACAAACCATCTCAAGATACTTACATTTGCTATTCATTTTACATAAAATATTCTATTTATTAAGAACAATTTTGCCTATGCTTTAATAGAAAACTCTTCCTCAGAAATTTTAACAGTATGCATCGTAGCTTTCATGTCTCTGCTCAATTACATCTCCCTAGAGCTGTTTTCTGACTCCCTTGACTAAAATAGCCACTCCACCCCAAACTTTGAGTCACCCAGGGGTGGGGAACCTGCGGCCTCAAGGCCACACATGGTCTTCCACATCCCTAAGTGTGGCCCCTTGACCCAATCCAAATTTTACAAAACAATCCTTTTAATAAAGGTATTTATTCTGTTAAGTTTGGATTTAGTCAAAAGGCTGCACACAAGGGTTCAGAAGGGCATGTGTGGCCCCAAGTTACCTTTATCTTATTCCAAGCACTTATTGCCTGAAATTGCATTACTGATTTGTTTTACTATACATAGTCTTTCTGTCCTACTAGAATTGTAAGCTCCATGAAGATAGATAGTGTAAAGATATAGGGGAAAAACCCCTCAATTTCTCTTACTATTTCACTCAACAACACAACACACAACACTTTTGACACCAGATGTATGGGGGTTTCCTCCCGCATAGCAAGCAAGCAATCAGTTCTCTAGCAGACAACAGCTGAGTGTCCTCCAATTCAATTAAATTCTGATGCTGTCTACCTGGAGAACAATCCACAAGATTGTTCCCACTTAAGCTGCTAACAGTAAAGTCAGTAAGTCTGGGCCACTAACCAACTGAATACAAACCAAGCTCCTCATGATCCCCTCTTTGGGTTAACCATTAGGTTGGCACAAATGTAATCGTGGTTTTAGCATTGCTGAAATTTGCCTTTGATACTGGAATTCTGAAATAAATGTGGTTATGTTAGATATAATTTTAATGCACATTTCTCGCTTTATGTTTTTTTGCTAATGACTTATTACTTGCTGTTTATTTTATATTTTAGACTATAGAAATAATGTTAGGCAAAAAGCAAATTCAAGCGATTTTCTTTTTCAAAATGGGTCGTAAAGCAGCAGAGACAACTTGCAACAGCAGCAACACATGTGGCCTAGGAACTGCTAATGAACATTCAGAGGTGGTTCAAGAAATTTTGCAAAGGAGACAAGAGCCTTGAAGATGAGAAGTAGTGGCCAACCATCGGAAGTTGAAAAGACCAATTGAGAGTAATCATTGAAGCTGATCCTCTTACAACTACACAAGCAGTTGCCAACCATTCTATGGTCATTTAGCATTTGAAGCAAGTTGGGAAGGTGAAAAAGCTGGATAAGTGGGTGCCTTGTGAGCTGATAAAATCAATAAAATTGTTGTTTTGAAATGTCTTCTTCTCTTATTGCCAACAACAACGCACCATTTCTTTTTTTTTTTTTTGAGACAGAGTCTCACTTTGTTGCCTAGGCTAGAGTGAGTGCCATGGTGTCAGCCTAGCTCACAGCAACCTCAAACTCCTAGCCTCAAGCAGTCCTTCAGGCTCAGCCTCCCAAGTAGCTGGGACTACAGGCATTCGCCACCATGCCCGGCTAATTTTTTGTATATATATTTTTAGTTGTCCAATTAATTTATATTTTTAGTAGAGACAGGGTCTCGCTCAGGCTGGTTTTGAACTCCTGACCTCAAGCAATCCGCCCGCCTCAGCCTCCCAGAGTGCTAGGATTACAGGCGTGAGCCTCCTCGCCCGGCCATCGCGCTATTTCTTGATGGGATTGTGATGTGCGATAAAAGTGGATTTTATACCACAACTGGCACAACCAGCTCAGTGGTTGGGCTGAGACGCTCCAAAGCACTTCCCAAAGCCAAACTTGCACCAAAAAAAGGTCATGGTCATTGTTTGGTGGCCTGCTGCCAGTCTGATCTACTACAGCTTTCTGAATCCTGGCGAAACCATTACTTCTGAGATGCTCAGCAAATCAATGAGATGCACCGAAAACTGCAAGGCCTACAGCCAGCACTAGTCCACAGAAAGGGCTCAATTCTTCTCCACGACAATGCCCCACCATACACAAGGCACAACCGACGACAATGCTTCAAAAGTTGAATGAACTGGGCTATGAAGTTTTGCCTCATCCGCCATATTCACCTGACCTCTCATCAACTGACTACTTCAAGCATATCAACAACTTTTTGCAGGGAGAACGCTTTCACAACCAGGAGGATGCAGAAAACGCTTTCCAAGAGTTCATCAAATCACGAAGGACAGATTTTTATGTTACAGGGATAAACAAACTTATTTCTCATTGGCAAAAATATGTTGATTGTAATGGTTCCAATTTTGATTAATAAAGACGTGTTTGATCCTAGCTGATTTAAAATTCAGCCCAAACCTGCAATTACTTTTGCACCAACTGAATAATTTGCTAAGACAGCTCACAGACCTCAGGGACACATGTTTACTGGTTTATTATAAAGGTTATTACAAAGGATATTACTGATAAATACCAGATGGAAGCTATAGAAAGCTATGTAATCCCCAAGGCTGGCCATTTAAAGATTGCATTCTGCCATTGCAATTTTAAGCACACAACACCCATGACATCTCTAGGAATTTTTCCTGTGTGTCCATTTCAAATTCCACTTTTTCCACAAAGCATTCCCTCATAACTCTACTAGCCTAAGTCACAGTGCCTCATACCTGGGGGGCGCTCAAATGTTTGGAGCCTGTAACATTGACTGAAGGAAACTCTAAAGGCTATATAGCTCATTCCACCTAATTCCTTCTGCATTAAGGTTAGTACTACAGAAATAAGCATATTGTGTTCTTAATTTTATATCTGCATGCCTCCTACTCCAACTTCCCTGAAGCCGAAGACATTCTTCTGTATACACAACCCCTAGGATGGAGTAAGGCACCCAACAGAATTTAGGTGAATCAAAATTCCCAAAATAATTTTCTGATTAAAACATTTTTAGGATTCGGCTGGATGCGGTGGATCACGCCTGTAATCCTAGCACTCTGGGAGGCCTAGGCGGGTAAATCGCTCAAGGTCATGAGTTCGAAACCAGCCTGAGCGAGACCCTACCTCTACTAAAAATATAAAGAAACTAATTGACCAACTAAAATAGATATATATACAAAAAATTAGCCGGGCATGGTGGCGCATGCCTGTAGTCCCAGCTACTCGGGAGGCTGAGGCAGGAGGATCACTTGAGCCTAGGAGATTGAGGTTGCTGTGAGCTACGCTGACGCCACGGCACTCATTCTAGCCTGAGCAACAAAGTGAGACTCTGTCTCAAAAAAAACCCAAAAAACATTTTTAGGATCCATACTGTCATCAACTAGGAAAAATACGTGAGAAGAATGAAGTTTGTTAAGGGGGCTCAAGCTATGTCCTAAAATGATTACTTTCTTTACAACCTTCTTGAACACTAGACTTTTCCTGTTGAGTTCACATGTAAAGTTTTTCTACTCAGGTGGGGTAGCAAGGTCACGGACTAGAGGGAGTTGCGTAACTTCTTGGAATCTCTCACTCAAAACATCTTTTTCTTACAGGAGGGGAGCACTTTACATAAGGTTACTAAGGCAACGCGCAACAGCAAAAATCTGAGGTGGTTCTATCTACCGAAGAAATTCTAAGATCCAAAGTTAAAGTGCCGAGCAGCGGCGCACATTAGTGGACAGGGGCCACTACCGAGACTCATTTAAAATCTCTGTTCAGCTCTGGGCCCCTTTTATTCAGGAATCCTCGTTTCGGGAAACCGAGTGGACAGCGAAGAGAGACCGCCACAAGTAAACCGCCGGAAAGCCGCGCAGTCGCATCCCGCGCGCTCCACTCCGCCCAGACAAATAAGCCACTGCCCTCCACAACCCCATCGCGTCCAGCCAAGCCGAGGACCCGAGGGAGCGCTCTTCACACCCTGAAAGATGCTTTAGCGAGAAACTTGTGCGACTCCTGAGCGTCTTAGGCCACGCCTCAGCTTTCGGCCTCAGTGAGGGGGCAAACTAAATCCTAGAAGCCGCTCAGCAAAGACCCCAGCTTTGGCGAGGCCCAATCGCCACGGCGGCCGGTGGGAAGGCCTGGCCAAAGTCTTGGCCCACGTCACTCTGTGCTCCGGGCCAGGAGCTTCCTGGAGAGTGTGGGCAGAGAAATGAAAAAGATCAGTACTCCCAGACCCTTCCGTATTGAAGACCCGAGTCAACAACCCACCTGGTGAGCGCCATCTTCTTCCGCTTCTTCCAGCGCGAGCGACAGCACTGCGGGGCGGGTCTTTCCCGGCGACACAGAGCGTAAAGGAAGGAGCACGCAATGCGCAGGCGCCTTGGCCGAAAGGCCTTCTGGGATTTGTAGTTCTTTGAAGAGGAGTACAATCCGGTTCTATTCTGACCAGACCAAGCGTTAGCAGGAGATAATCGCGTCAGTTAAGAGCAAATATATAACTCGATTACTCGTGCACTGTGACATGATAGGGTGCTCCCTAGGCCAAATAGCGAAGTTGGAGGGAGATGCCTTTTATGCGGCTTTATTTCATTCCCCTCTCAGTCCCATTCCCCTAGTACCAAATGAAAAAGCTTTTCAGGGACAGCCCCTTGAAGTGATAGGGTAAGAGGGTTTTAAAACGATACTGTGAGACTGGCGAATGGGGAGTTCTTGGGTGCTCTAAAAACATCCACTTTCAAACCTTTTATTTAAGCAGTATCCAACCCGTCCCCAAAACACTCTCCGAGGGAGGTATTTGTGATACTTAGTAAGTTACTGGGTGTTTGGGTTCTCTGTCCAGGGTATGACAAGAGTGAAATCACAATGTCTGCCCGACTGAGATCTCTGAAGAAAAATACGTCTCCTAAATTCATTCTTCCGTTGGCAGAATTCAGTTCCTTGCAGTTGTGGGATTTAGGTCCTTATTTTGTTGTGTGCTGTCAGTAGGGGCCACCCTACAGTTCCTAGTGGTCACTCTCAGGTCCTTCCCACATGACTCCCATAGGTTTCTTCCAGGCCAGTTGACTTCCTCTTTTGCCACAAATGGGAGAAAACACTGCTTTTAAAGGGCTCATAAGTAATTAGGTCACTCGGACCCACCCAGATAATCTCCATACTTTAAGATCAACGCTGGCCAGGCATAGTGGCTCACACCTGTAATCCTAGCACTCTGGGAGGCAGAGGCGAGGGATCGTTTGAGCTCAGGAGTTCGAGACCAGCCTGAGCAAGAGGGAGACCCCTGTCTCTACTTAAAAAATAGAAATTAGGGGGGTGGGGGGGAAATGGGCATTTATTGAAACCTTAAAATCTGTACCTCCATAATATGCTGAAATAAAAAAAAAAAGAAGCATCACTGTGCTTTGAGCCAAGGCAACCAGTAGAGTGCCACATGTTTAAAACATTAAACATTAATTGCATAATTACAGTTTTTGTCCTTGTTAGAACTGACTCAAAAAGGACTTTGTGACATGTTTTTTGCCTTAAAAGGAAAGTTAGTCTAATGACAGCATAATAGATAAAGTAGGGGGAGAAGATAATTGCATTACTTGTGTGAATTGGTCCAGTGTTATTAATTGGTTTGTGCAACATAGTTTAGTTTTCAATGTTGTAATGCAGCCTTTTGCATGTGTTTAAAGCTTTGCTAATTATTAAATACCTTGCATCTGTGACACACACACAAAAAAAATAGAAATTAGCTGGACAACTAAAAAAAAAAAAAATATATATATATATATAAATTAGCCGGGCATGGTGGTCCATGCCTGTAGAAATTAGCCAGACACTAAAAATATATTATAATATATATATATTAGCCAGGCATGGTGGTGCATGCCTGTAGTCCCAGCTACTTGGTAGACTGAGGCAGGAGGATCACTTGAGCCCAGGAGTTTGAAGTTGCTGTAAGCTAGGCTGACGCCATGGGCAATAGCCTGGGCAATAGAGTGAGACTCTGTCTCAAAAAAAAAAAAAAAAATCAACCAACGCTGCTACACAGTATAACACAATCAGGGAAGTGGTATCTTCTCATAGTCACAGCCCCAGGGATTATACAAGGTTTGTACTGTAATGGTGGGGGGAGGAGATATTGGGGAATAGTTTAGAATCCTGCCTGCCACGGGATGAAAGCCAAAAGAAAAAGAACTATTGGGGGGGGCAGGGTCTTGCTCTGTCACCTAGGCTAGAGTGCAGTGGCATCATCATAGCTCACTGCAACCTCAAACTCTTGGTCTCGAGCGATTCTCCTGCCTCAGCCTCTGGAGTAGCTGGGTCTACAGGTGCATGCCACCACACCTGGGTAATTTTTGTATTTTTTGTAGAGATGGGGTCTTGCTTTTGCTTAGGTTGGTCTCAAAGTCCTGGCTTCAAACAATCCTTCCCTATCGGCCTCCTAAAGTGCTAGGATTACAGGCATGAGCCACCATGCCCAGCCTAAAAAACTTTTGGCAAGTACAGAATTATTAATCATGTTTAATATAATGAGCATGGTCTAGGAGTCTGAAGATTAGAATTTAAGATATGGCTTCACCAATAAACTGTGTTACTGTGGTCAAGTCACTTGATTTCTTTGGGTCCCAACTTTATAAAACTTAAAATGAAGATCATGTACCTGCTTTATACATATCATTATATGTATATTTGATTGATTGTGAAACTTAAATGAGTTAACATAGGTGGATATGTTTTTTCTGAACTTGAAAGTTCTATGTAAATATATTATTACATGTAAGATTTTGGTTGACAGTGAACTGTTTTACATCTGCCCCAGGAATGTATTATTTCTTTTTTTTTTTTTTTTTTTTTATCTTTACATTCAACAGGCTGGTTGCAAAATGTATTATTTCTAAGAAGAATAAAAGAGGAGCAAATTAGAGAAGGTCCCAGAAGCCAAGATCAAGAAGCTTAGATTTAATTCAGCAGATGATTTGGAACTGAAGGAGGACTTAAGTAGAGGGCCTGGGTCAAGGGGAAAGGCAAGAATGACAATTCTTAGGGCAGAATGGGTTTCTATGGCAAAGAGAGGACAAGGTTAAAATAATTAACCTGTGGCCAAGCGCGGTGGCTCACGCCTGTAATCCTAGCGCTCTGGGAGGCCGAGGCGGGCGAATTGCTCGAGGTCAGGAGTTCGAAACCAGCCTGAGCAAGAGCGAGACCCTGTCTCTACTATAAAGAGAAACAAATTAATTAGCCAATATATATAGAAAAAAAATTAGCCAGCCATGGTGGTGCATACATGTAGTCCCAGCTACTTGAGAGGCTGAGACAGAAAGATTGCTTGAGCCCAGGAGTTTGAGGTTGCTGTGAGCTAGGCTGACGCCACGGCACTCACTCTAGCCTGGGCAACAAAGTGAGACTCTGTCTCAATAAAATAAAATAAAATAATTAACCTGGGAAATCAGTAAGACTATGACCAAGACCTAGGATGCAGGATTGAAAGAAAGGTGTGGAGAACAGCTTTTATAGTCCACCCTGACTTTCCACAGAGGCATATCATGCAAGGCATTTCTACCAGTCATGGTCCCTTGTTGTCCTTGGGGTATATAGAGAACAGCAACTGTCTTTAATAGCAATCTTACCAAAACATAATTAAGAAAGCAAATCTACTGCAAAATTGATATGATAATATACCCCAAGGCCAAGTGTTTTACTGTGCTGAATCTTTCTTGCCCATCCATTCCTCATTATCACAGGTTATCAGCAACTGCCTGCTCCTATAGAGGCCCTGGTGCACGTTGGAATCAGATCTGTGCCAGGCTGCAAGAAACAATCAATTCACTCCACTCTTGGAATTCCAGGTGGAGGGTAGAATCGTTCTCAGAGAACCTAGAGCCTAACTTGATTCCTAACTAGCTGTGGCTGTGTAGCCACAAGTAACGTAACTTGTGAGATGGCAGTTAAGCAGATTCTGGAGTCATCTTTCCTGGCTTCCCATCCCAGCTTCCTAATTTACTAGCTGTGGATCCTGTTAAGTCACAAATTCTCTCTGAGTTTTCTCACAGCAAAAAAAGAAAAAAAAAAATGGAGAAAGTAAGTAATAACCTATTCTCATAAAGTTGGAGGATTATATGAGTTAACCCTGTAAAATGCATACACCAATGTCCAGCATGGAGTAAGTACTCAAAAATTAATTATGATTTTTTGGCATTAATTTAATTGACCTTAACAAAATTTATTAAGCTTCTTGAGCTTCAGAATTTGCATCTGCAAAGTGAAGCAATTGAACTCAATTTTATTTGAGGTACCTTCCAACTTACATGCTTTTCTCTTTATATGTTTGAATTTATTGCAGTGCCAGTATTTTATGCTCTGATGCAATTATGCTTTAGTTATTGTTACATTATAGTCAGTCTCTGATAGTGGAGCTGCCCCACCTCAGTTTTCTTTGTTTTTAGATGTCTTTCATATGCCTTCCCAATATTTATACACACACACACACACACACACACACACATATATATATATATATATATATTTTTTTTTTTTTTGAGACAGAGTCTCACTTTGTTGCCCAGGCTAGAGTGAGTGCCGTGGCGTCAGCCTAGCTCACAGCAACCTCAAACTCCTGGGCTCAAGCGATCCTTCTGCCTCAGCCTCCCGGGTAGCTGGGACTACAGGCATGCGCCATCATGCCCGGCTAATTTTTTATATATATATCAGTTGGCCAATTAATTTCTTTCTATTTATCATAGAGATGGGGTCTCGCTCTTGCTCAGGCTGGTTTTGAACTCCTGACCTTGAGCAATCCGCCCGCCTCGGCCTCCCAAGAGCTAGGATTATAGGCGTGAGCCACAGCGCCCGGCCATATTATTTTTTTAAATAGAGACATGATGTTAAATAGAGACATATGTTGCCCAGGTTGGTCTCAAACTCCTGGTCTTAAGCAATGCTTCTAAAGTGCTGGGATATAGGCGTGAGCCATTGCACCTGGCCAAAAAAAAATTCTAATTAAAGTATTGATTTGCATTAAATTATATAGTTATTATAGTTTAAAAGGCAAAAACAAAAACCAACTAGACCCATAGAATACTTAGTAACTGCAAAAGAAAAAAAATATACCTTTCCAATGGAGAGATCTGGCTGTCATCACTTTAACATTACTAATAGTGGGAAAATCTGACATTAGATGTTTCTAATATGACATTCCCCAATTTCCTGACCAAGCCACACCTAACTTCATTCCAGTTCACGAGAAATCCAGGGGATAGAAGAACAAATTAAACAGCATGAGGAAACAATCAGAAAAATCTAGACTATGAGACATTCTATAAGACAACTGACCTAGACTCTTCAAAATGTCAATGTCATAGAAGTCAATA